TGGAGTAGTCATATGTTTCCTTGTTATCTGCTTAAGCCTTTTAGGTGGTTTCTCTACAACATCAAATCCATCATCCATGCCAAGGGCCCTTTCATACTCATTATCTTCAATTGATAAACATTATAATCATTATCTTCACTATCATTATTATCATCACTACCATCTCCTTTAACATTACCATCAACATTTGCATATTCATCAACATTATCAGCTTCAATATCATCAACATTATCAACAATACCATTATCAACATTAACATTAACATTATCATCATCATTAACGACATTTTTAGCTACAACTATCCTATGCTCAACATATAAATCCACACTACAACTAGTTTCAACAACTTTTTCATAGACCTCAACAACATCAACATCATAAACCATCCTTGTATGCTTACCCGATACAATATTATACCACCATAGCCAATAATCAGTTGACTCAAGATTGCAAATTTCTTTCATAATACCATTTGATTCAAAGAAGCTCCACCTATCAGGGTCAATGTCTATTGAATGTTTACCCCTACCTGAGTAGTATACCACATTTTCCCTAGCAAACTTACCCCCATAATGAATGTTCATTGTAAATGTCATAGCTGGAAGATTCGTCGAGGTTGCTCAAACACAATTATAGCTTCCTCAACCTCAAAGGCCTCACCCAGACAAGTGCTCGTACCAATCGCCTTCACCTTCCCTGAGTTGTGACTAAAATGCTTCCTAAATATGAAACCCTAATTTACATGGACTAAATAGCAAAGAGGGACATGACTTTTGATGACATATTTTTGAGGGAAAAGAATATATCCACGTGTGTTAAAGAAAATAATAAAACAATAGCTAAAACATATGACAAGTCATCAACATCTGCCACCTCAACTCTTTTTTAACCTCTCTCTAACAGCAGGGACTAACGCCAAAGAGAATTGGATATATGGCGACTTGGACAAAAAAAAGATCCATGGACTAAAACCAAAAACACGCTAACTTACAGGGACGAAAAAACTATTTAAGCCTTGATTAATTCATGTTTTTTTAACGATAAGGATTTTACCAACATCTTTGGAGGGTTTTGATTGCACCGGCAAATTTGTATGGTCTAGAATGCATCTTCATTTGTATAAATAGAGACATATTTTATAGAGAAAAACATCTCAAAAAATGCCTCTTCCATAATTTCTTATTAAGGCAGAAGTATATTTCAACAGAAACAATCCTCGTGTTGAATTCAAGTTTCTAGATGGCGCCACATCCCTCACCAATTTGACAGATAAGTTGAATGAATTAGTGCCTGATACTGATAACAGAAGGGTGAGAAAGATCGAGTTCCGAGAACATTGGATTGATACAGATCGTTGGGTGAAATACAACCGGACTGAGTTGAAGATCGGTGAAGATGTGAAGGCCATGTGGAAATCATTTCGCTGTAGGATAGCTAAAGGTTCGGTCGAATTGGATGTGTAGATAACAAGATCCGTCGACGACATAATAAAGATGCTGAAACATCCAGAATCATCTGGTAGTGCATAAGTTTTCATGTTTAGTTTTTTTTTTAATTTATGTTTGTTGTATTGTTTTATGTTATGTTCATCTTCGAATCGAAACATGTAATCGCCAAAATATTATGCAATAAATAAGAAGTCTGTGTGTCTCAAAATATACATATAATACAACCAAAATATAACAGATCTACATACGCCCCCTACAGGCTACGTCCACTAACCTAGATAAACCTATATAAATCTCACCATCAGGGTTTATCAAACCAATGAGGTTATTTAAATGAAGAGCAATAAACTGTAGGAGGTTGTCCTGGTCGCCTGCGGGTGGTGGAGGTGGTGGTGGCGGCACGTCAGAAACCATAGCACACAAAGGCCCCAGAACATCAGAAACCCTAGTTGGTGGTATGACCCGAGGGTGTGATATAATGTGATACCACTTCAGGCATCTATCCTCACATTGTGAAGAACCCTTAACCATAACTGTTGTATCCCTGATCTCACGGGCATAGCTGATGATGTGACGCTGGAACCACCTGTCAATGCCATCAGATGGAGACTATGGAATTGGACAAGGATGCATTGAATATAACCATATTGTCGCAGATGCCTCTCAGACAAGTGTCTAGTGATGTGGTTCTCTCACCTAATATACCCTGAATACAAAGAAGCATCGTCAAATCCACGATGGGCCCGATGATATGTATATGGTGTTCAGATAACATCCTCTATGGTCAAAGCATCAAGCCTCCTCCTATACTCCATCACGCCTCCTGGATGGGCTTGCTTTCGCTTCCATCTCCTCGCTTGTGGTTCACTAGGCGGGACACACTGGATCTTCCGGTCATAGATGTGGGAGAAGTGCTTGTATATCCAACACTGCATAAATAAATTGATAACTCATATATTCAAATAAATGGATAAAAACTAGATAACCAGATACTCAAATAAATTCTAGTATACTTGAAATAGGCTCAGATAACGAGCTAGTTGTTTTGTCTCAAGCTGAGAAACAACTCCAAGTGTTGTGTACAACATGATCAACACGGCCACTCCCCAAGCCCAACATGGAGTGTCTAGTGTACTAAATAGAGACAAGTAGCGATCATCAATGTAAACACCAGACATGTCTGCAAAGAGAGTACTTGCCATCAGATGTAGCATGTACGCCATTGTGGCAGCCTCATACCTATGGGCCTCCACCAGCTCCACGTACAATGTCCTCAACCAAGACATTCGAAGGTGAAATCTCCGATTAAAGCCAAACTCCTTTAGAACCCTCGCCTCAGATACCTTCAAATCATCCATAACCATGTGCACCGCGTCACATGGTTAATATAAGGGGGAGTGGCGAATCTACCAGCGGTCGGGATGTGAAACAAGGCGTTGACATCATCCAATGTGATCGTCATCTCCCTAAATGGAAGATGAAAGGATATGTCTCTGGGTGCCACCTCTTAACAAAAGCTGATAGGAGGGAGGCGTCGAGCATGGTCAAGGAGCACTTAGCGAACTCCAACAGATGACCTTTAGCATCACATGTTCATGTAAAAGCAAAATAAAAAAATTACACATCTTTCAAACACTTGATCGAGTCGTTACGAAAACTTTGCAATAAAATAAAACTTGCCCTGCAATATCATATATGCAACATGCTCAAAAAAATTTGTCAGTACATACTTGTCCGAAGGTCCTCCTGAAAATGCTCCATCAGTGTGAACTGTTGCCTCCATAGACGTACGAGTCATGGCGTGTGTATCTGTAGGAGACACCTCATCAGCCTGCTCCACAACAACTCCCTCATCAACCCCCTCATCCACAACAGCCTCCTCAACAATCCCCCCATCCACAATAACCTCCTCAGCAGCAACAGCCTCCTTAGCAGCCAGCTCCATAACAACCTGCTCCACAAGATCATGAACCTCCTCGACAATAGAAAATATAGATGTTTATCGTCAGAATGTGCGAAACTACGCATGTTGCTCAACCAACTATTTCCAGTGAGAATCGATCATAGCACGTCGTCCTGCCCGTAGGTCAGAAGCCTGCGCCTCATCAGCTCGGGCCTGAGCTTCCGCTTTATCAATCAGCTTATCCGCACTGGTACCGTCTTTGCCCCTCCTTCACTGAAACAATTAAGGAAAAATTAAACATTAATAAAAATTGAACTACCATAAATTTTAAAATTTCCGATTAATTTTGAGAAAAATTTGAACCACCGGAAATTTCAAAAATTCTGGTATATAATATAATAAAATAATCGAAAATTTACAAATTTCCAATGCGAAATAATCAGAAATTTTGCACAAAAAAAACACGTAAGTTTCTTACTATTTCACGAAATTTTCGATATGTCCTCGAAATCTCCGATATCGTCCAGTAAATTTGAAATTCTCGATGTGGTCATGTAAATTTCAAAATTTTAGTTGAACTTTTTTTGTTTTTTCATACACTGTGGGGGGTGTCAAGTTCAACTAGAAAGTGTCTAAGTTAAAAACTAGCTTAGTTATTAGTGTTGATTTTAGTTTTAGGATGGAAAAAACCCTCACTCAATAATATCTGATTTCCTTTAATGTACTTCAAACTGTCTTTACTTTTAGCCCTGTCAAAAAAATTGTTTTTAATCCTTTTAAACACACCAATTTACTTTTCATCTTCGGTGTTTTGTTTTAGTTAAAATTAATTCATATTGAAATTAGACAATGAAATATTCATTTAATACTTATTTTAAAGATCAAATCAAATATTCTACATATTACATACATTAGTTTCAATATGAATTTTGTCAAAAAAATTCCAATATGAATTAATTTTGCAGAATTACAACAGAATAGTAAGGATGCAAAATAAAAATATATAAGGGTATGTTTTTTTCATGATTGTAAAAAATATTTTAAGGAATATGGTCATGGGAATGCAACACTCCTATGTTTGATTCAAATTTTAAAAAAAATTTATTTCAAGACATATTTTATTCTCAGGAATCTTATTTATACATGATTTTTCTATTTTTATTTCCATGGTTAAAAAGTGAGAATCCAACATTTTCATAAGAATAAATCCAACTACCACTAACTTCCCACTTCTACTCACAAATTATTACTATTTTTATTTTTCATAATTTTTAAATTAAATAAATTTGTAAACATTCCTAGAAAAGTTTATTTTTATCCAAACATAAGTTAGAATATTATTCCAAGAAATATGAATCCAAGGATATAATTTGATAACCCTAAGTAAATATATGCAGAGACAAAACTACTATTTGCAGCACATTAGAAATTAGAAAGAAGAGGCTTTACAAAGCTATCTCCAGGACAAAATTGAGGTAAGAAAACCCACGAATATGCAAATGTGCATTCTTCTCGGTAAAAAAAATTAACCTGTTAACATGAGGAAAAGCTTTGCCGTCTAATGTTCAGACTGAATGAGTATTCCATCAACTTCTGTGACTAGTACTGTGCAGTAGACACAGAAGTATTTGCTATTTGCTAATAACATACTATTCTTGATAGTCTGGCCTCAGAACCCAATAGGAACCATTTGATCCTTTCTGCAGAGTGGCTATTTCCTTTAACAAATTCTTGAACAGGGCAAGATCTTTTGGCGGGATCCTGTCCTTGAAATACTGAACTATGCTGGATGAACTACAACTGCCACCTTTCTGTTGGAAAAAGGTGCAGATTTTTCTAATCATTACTTCAGGCTGGAATCCAGATGAATTTTCAGGTGCCCTGGATGTTCTAACATCTCTTGAATGATTTGTGGAAGTTGATGACATTCCTAACTGATGCTCAAGCCCAACACTGACGGCTTTTTCTTGATTACCTCGAATTTTAGATAATATTTCAGCAGACGATAATGCCTTACCAGAAGACGCCCCAGCAGCATATCCATTGAATTTGTTAGATCCGCTGCTAGGTAATTCATTGGATGCTTTGCTATTATTTAGCAACTGGGGATTCACAGTTGAGCCAAACTTCCGCCGAACATATGATGGTGCACCAGCAGCTCCTGACCTTCCGGTCCATGTAGGAACAGAGACGCTTTCGTTGGTTCGAATCATTCGTGACTTACGTAAAGCTTCTGCAGCTCTTTGTGCAACCTGGGAAGCTTGCTGGTCAAGTCTCATCTTTTCCTCGTCATGGGCATCCATGATCAAATCGTGGTTCATGGCACTCTACCAATTATATAACGAGTTAGTCACAAAGGATAACAGTACATTGAAAAGGGGAACACTAAAAAACAAGAAACAGATCAATATGCGGATTTTAATATAGTTTGGATACGTGGTAAAGATACCTTGTAATTCTTGTACAAATCAATATATGCTTGCTTGTTTCATATTTATCTTAATTCTTGAATAACTACTTGTACAACAAATGTAGTTTCCAATTTATCTTGAAAGTAATGATGTGTGATAATTTAGATGTAAGTTGAAAAATACTGAAGAAGCTTACATGTATCCCATTAGCATCAAAAAGACTTTTCAATATATTCGCTTCTTCACCAGCTCTGTTACTTTTGTCGATCTTCTCTTTACCTTTTCCTCTTGAAGATCCTCCGTGTGAGTTACCATCATTATCAACTCCAGCATCTTCAGAACCCAATTCAGCAGTATGACTAGATTCATTATCCTGAGTATCTTGATGTGTCCCAATAATATTTACATCTTCAGCTATTTGACTGAAAATATTTGACGTTTCTGTTGAACCAGCTTCTCCGTCCACATTCAATACAAAAAGATCTTTCATATCTCGGGCTTTAAAGAACCTTTTCTGCTGTGGGTTCTTCAAGATCTTATTGGTAAGAAAGTGTTTGTAAATCTGACGATGATATACTTTCTCCTCAATAGTTCCCCGAGTGATTAATCTATATATTGTCACATCCCGTTTCTGACCAATTCGCCACGCACGCTCTCTAGCCTAGAACATTATTCTCCATGAGAATGAAGTTGATACAAATTCACAAACAAAAATTTAATCTGAAAATTATCAGAGGCATTAAACTTCAGGCATATTTATAGGGATGGAAAAGGAAGGAAATTGTTTTCCTCATTTTCATTTTCCCCTTTTATAAACATTCAGACACACAACTAACAAACTGGCCATGAAAAAGTGAAGGAAAGATTTTCACGTTACAGTCATGTTTCAACCACTTCAAGAGCAAAAAACAAACGTACCTGCATATCAGTTGAAGGATTCCAATCAGGGTCAAAGATGATCACCCTATCTGCACCAGTAAGATTTGTCCCCAACCCCCCAACTTTGGTTGTTAAAATGAAAACAAAAATATCACTTGAGGCATTAAATTCATCCATTAAAGCCATTCTATGTTTTACTGGAGTGAGACCATCCATTCTCCGGTAAATATGACCAGAAGTAGTCAAATATTTCTCAAAAATGTCAAGCATTTGTTGGGTTTGAGTAAAAAGAAGAACACGGTGACCCTGCTCCTTCCAAACATTGAGCACTTGAGCTACAACTTTCATTTTCCCACTACGATCTGGATTTCCATAATCTGGATCGCTGAAGGCATGTTCCCTTTCAAGTAGGTCTGGGTGGTTGCAGATCTTGCGCATCACATCAATTCCATAAAGTGAATTCCTGCCTCCATCCAATATTTCTTCCACTTCACTACTGGCTAAAAATGCTCTATAAGCAGATACTTGCTCTGATGTAAGGCTGCAAAACAGAACATGCTCAGTTTTCTTAGGAAGTTGGGCATTTACATCAGCCTTCATTCGTCGGAGAAGATAAGGCATAATTAAATCACGCAGCACAACAGCACACCTGCAGAACAACAAAATAACATTCAATTTAATTGGTAAATGGGGATATGCTAACAATCTAATTAAAAATAAACTTAATCCCTACATGGAATATGCTAACAATCTAATTAAAATATTCATCTACCTCCATTTTTCCTGTAAAGAGTAGTATCTCATTAGGTGAATATGTTGTTATTTATAATTAAGTAAATGTAATTTTTGAAGGATTAGAATTTAGAGTTTTCTGGGAAAGTATTTATAGTTTAGGAACAATAGAGACCATGTTTGATTTAATTGAACTAACGTCAGAAAGTTCCAAACTTATTTTTGGTTCCTTAGGAACTCCGCAGTTGATTTGGGATCTCTCAACAGTTAAGTATAAATCAAACATACACATTATCGACTAAATTAAAGTATCATATGAAGAATTCTTTTTGAACAATTTTTTTTTCTATAAGAGCTTTTGAGTTGTAGTTCTCCATTTTTTTAAAATTCAGTCAGCTTACACATAACAGGGTAATTACACCAAACAATATAATCATGGGAGCATGTTTCTACAATTTTAATAGAAATTCTAACTGACTTAAGACAAATGTCTTAATTTGTACATTTGAGTTGAGATAGATCATGGAGAAGATGCTACAATAAAAAATTTAGCGCCTAACTGAAAATATGGTCAAGCTGATTTTTTTAATTTACCCCCTCCCACAAACCAAAATAAAAGCAATATTGGCCCACCTGTATGCTGTGGATACTTGTAATGGAGAAGCATTTGAATATCCGCCAACAGCTATAGGAACTGCAAACTCAGCTTCAAATACAGGCAAAACACCCAATTTTCCAGGGAAAACAAAATCAAACAACGACCATAACTCGCTCAGTTTGTTCTGAATAGGTGCACCAGTCATAATGATGCGGTGTACAGTTTGTAACTGTTTGCAAGCTAGGGTAACTTCTGCATTTGGATTCTTTATTTTATGCCCTTCGTCAAGAACTGCATAACCCCATTCAAAGTCAAGCAACTGGTCCCCCAATATCCTTAGCTGCTCATAAGTGGTGATGAGTAATCCAGATTCTGATCTCATGACACGATTTATCAGGGTTTTCCACTTTCTTGGGTTTCTAGATGGTACACTTCTCTCATAATCATTGTCGCTTGAATTATTGCTTTCAGAGTCTGTTCCATCAGATTCAGCTCGCTTCTTTTCAGAAGCCAGATCATGAGCAGAATCATGTACAAGTTCTACATGGAATTTAGGATACCACTTTTTTGCTTCCCTTTTCCACTGTCGCAAGAGTGTGACAGGACAGACAATAATGCTGGGTTTATACATGCCACTAAAATGCAATGCACCCAGAAATGATAATACTTGTATAGTTTTCCCAAGACCCATCTCATCACCAATAATTCCACCAGCTCTTTGGCAGTGCAACTCCCACAGCCATTGAACACCAACCTTTTGATAGTCAAACAGAGCTTCAAATATGTTCTCAGGGATTTTCAGCCCACCTTCTAATGTTACATAAGAAGATTCGTGTTCAGAAAGTTCAACATCATGGCCTTCTAAACTTTCACAACTGGAAGTGTCCAAGCAACCATTTGCATTTTCTGCAATAAAATAAATTAACTGAATCTATTGAATAAGAACATAAACATAAATGAAAATAATAATATTATAGCAAACAAAGCGGTCTAGAGTAGTGAGTGACATGAACTGAAACCGGTGTATGATGGATCATAAGCCAACACATATCTTAATTCACCAGTATTAACTATCAACATTCAAAGTGCAAACTACCGGAAAAAAAATCAGACACAGATAACAAATAAAACATATTTATGTGAACCCTTACATTTTTAAATTATAACCAATTGCAAATATTAATGGTAAAGGCATTGTAAAGTTTCAGATAAAGTAGATAAATAAATATCAGAATCAGCTCTTCTTAAGAATCCAAAGATACCATCAGGCCTGCAAATCTTAAGAATCAGATTTTCATATTTTATTACTATTCTTTGTGCCCCGTATAAATAAGAACTAGACATACCACTTCCTTCCAGTTGTCTATCCTCAGAAGAAACACGTTTGGTCCATTTCCTGCCAGGCAAAGGTCGTTTCTTTTTCTTTTTTGAATCTGTATTCAGATCCCCCTCACTGTCTAGAGGTTTGGGTAATTGTAGTGGTTTCTTGAGCCTGCGAAAAGGAATAGTGGGTGCATCAAGCTTCGGTAACTCTCCAGGCTCAAGCAGCTTGGATGTTGGACGAGCTCTTGCTGCCTGAGAAAATGATCTGGCAGCTCTTTCAACACTGGACAAAGCAAGATTGTTGGTATTTTCCAGCTCAGCAGCATTATGACTAGTTGATGCTTCAGGTTGTTGAATGCGGCGCTCAAAGCCCTTCAACTTATGAAAAGGGGTGAAAATTCCTTTTCTAACCAATTCATCCCTTTCCTGAAATACAAACAGTAGAAATTAGTCCTTCAAATTTGATTCTTTCATAGCACATTATAGCATCCAATATAACAATTATAATATTATAAACATTAGAAAATGAAAAATAGGATAAAAACGGTAAAGTCATAAATAACATGTATTCAAGTAACTCACAGTTTCTACAAAGCCCGTAGAGGCTGCATCCAGCACAGCATCGAAATCAGCATCATCATCAAACGAGACCGTCTTAAACCGCTTTGCAGGTCTCTTGCTTACTTTCCTATCATCTTTAATCTTCTTGGGTCTTCGGTCTTCCTTAACTAAACTAAATATAACTTTTTTCCGCTCAATGCTTTTCGGATCACTATCCTTAGAAAATCTAGAAAGCTCTTTCTCAAGTTGCGCCTTCGTTTTCTCAAGACTTCTCAATCTATCAGCCGCAAGAACACGCTGAAGTTCAGAGCCATTTCCCTCATCAACCCCTTCCTCCAAATCCTCCTCTTCAACATCACCGCCTTCTCCGTCCTTATCAACATCTCTCGGCCGTTGAATAGTCGAAGAAACCGCGCCAATTTCAAATTCTATTGCCCTCAACTTCTGATGAAGTTCAGATAACGGATCAAGGGTTTCAGGTAAAGTAGTAGAGCATTGATTTTCCTCAGTGTTCCCTTCAGCTTCAGTAACAGTAACTGAACCATTCCTAGCCTACGATAGTGTTAACTAACTTTCAAGTAAATAAAAAAACAACACTACAATCTATTTTATTGGATTTCAAATAAAAGTTCAAAATCAATTTCAAATTAAGCAAAAATCAGTGAAGTTCAACCTAAAAATACCTTTTCCAAAACGCGGCGTTCGATGTCTTCAGGATTGGCGGATTTAACGCCCAAAGTAGTAAGCAGAATTCGATCCTGTTCTTCTTCCATTGAATTGTTTTCGTCACAAATTTTGATTTTGATGATTTTCACCGTAACTCAAGGGCATTGAATTTTCAATTCAAAAGGAAAAGAGGGTTTATCGATTCCCAGGTTCCTGGGTAAAGCTACGTCGTTTCGTAGTGTTGGATTGTTTCTTCTTCCACACACACGAAACAATGCCCTAAGTAATCCACTAATCCGTCATTGTTTTCTTTTTTAACATATGCTCCAAAATTGCTTTTTGTTTTTTTAACATATGTTCTTATACTTCCAAGACATACTTTTAGGAAAATATAAAGGGGAGTGAATTTTAATAATTCTATAAATGTTTGGACTAATAGAGGGAAGAGAGGGATTTTAATAAAAAATATGTTTAGTTCATAAGAGGAAGGGAGGAGATTTTATTAATAATTTATATTTTTATCTTTATAATTTTATATATGTCATATGATATGCAAAGTTGTAAATTTTGTAAAAAAAATTTGATAATAAAAGATGCATAAGTAATTAAACACAATTTATAATGTTGATTGATTAAAAAAATTATAATATAACGTTAAAAAAATTGAGTATATTTGATTCAGATTATAACTCTTCGACATAAATTAAATTATGTGTTTATAATATGTTTTATATTGTGATGAGTCATCTAACCAAAAAAATACATAAAATAACAATGTAATAGACGAAAAAAAGAATGGTTTAAAATTTGATGGAAAATAAATTACAATCGAACACATAACAAAAGTAGATTAAAAAAACATAAATAAAAATAATATAAAAAAACAAAAAATGTGCAACGATTATAATGTATATTAAATATAAAAATACAAAAATAATTCAAAGGCGGAGAATAGTTATAATAAGTGATGGAAGATATAGAGAAAATCATACAAAAGAGAAGCACTTACATGAAAGAAAGCAAATAATTTTGAAATACTAAAATAAAATTGAAGATATTTTTGTAAATGTAAAGTAAAGTTAAATAATAAAAAACAGATTACCTCTTCTCCCCTATGAATCCTCCCGATTTGGAGGGATGCAAAAAGTGTGTTTTGGAGGGGATTTGCTCCCCTCCTAAAATTTGAACCAAACACATTTAAATAGTAATATTCTCTTTCATCCCCTCCCCTCCCATTCATCTACCTCGAACCAAACACACCCTGAATCACTCATTATAAATAATGTATTTTTATATGTATTAAAAAATGACTAAATAATTTTTAGTCCCTTACCTATATCTCTAGATCCATTTTGATTTTTTTTTCCGTTTAAAACGTCTAATTTGATCTCTTACGTTGTCAAACCGAATTAATCAAGTCTTTTCTATCAAATAATGATAAATAGCGTTAGATAGAAAGGATGTGGAAGCTAAGGTGGATTATCCTCTTCGTCACCTTCTTCTTCATTGTTGAAGCTTGCTTCATTTTACCCTCAATCTAAACCTAATGCGAATAGGGAAAGAAATCTCTAAATTGAAACATAATTCGCCAGTGTTGCTTGTGGTTCATCATCATCATCGAAAAATACAAGTGATTCACAAGTATATAGCACCTCTAATCTTCTATGGGAACATTTTTATCGCTGTGGAGACACTGGTGTACTTCGAAGGGCAAAAACTATCAACCATTATGGAAAGCTTTTTTGGGGTTATCAATATTTTAAGGTAAGTTTTAGTCTAAATATTCTAGGTTGAAATATTGTTGAAATGTTTTTTTATTACATTGTATTTTTTTCTTAATCTTTGCACGGATATAGTAATGTTGGTTGTGGATTCTTTGAATGGTTTTACGAAGAAGCTAGAGATGAAAATGAGCAAATTATGATGAAGCAACAAAGTAAGATAGATGTGCTAACTTAAGAGATGGAGGAAGCCAAAAAAGAGGTTGAACTATTCAGGCTCAATAATATGGAATTAGAAGTTTCCTTGAAGAACACCATCAAGTGGACAAAAATTTAGAAGTTTATGTTCTATGTTGTATTCTTTGTTTTAGTATTCAAGATGTTGTAATACTCATTATGTACTTGTTCATTTATCTGGCATGAATGTGTTATGTAGAAGTTTAATTTGTGTCATGAATTTATTGTACCAGTTCAGTTATCTTACATGAATGTGTTATGTAGAAGTTGATTTTGGCATTATTTTGTTGCACTAGTTCAAACTTGCAGTGTTTAAACTTGAATGTTATTTTACATGAATGTTTTATGCAGTGTTCAAACTTGCATAAAACCATATGCCATCTTCCACTTGATTAAACCTTGTTCAAAATAATATTGTTAAAACCTTGCATAAACCTTGTTCAAAACAGACATGACATAATTTGTTACAAACATGACATAAACTCTGTTGTTGTACCCCAAAATTTGCCCTCTCACTTATCAAGAAGTTTCTCACAAGATCTCCTTGGGCTCAAGACTGCATTAGGGTTTGATCAGCTCAAGACACCTCTTTATGCATTGATGACCAAAATTAGGGTTTGATATTGCACGGGGATTTTTGAACTTCCAATGCTTCATATGACTTTCATGTATCATTATGGACCCCCAAGATTACTCATTCCAAGTTTCAAGCCTTGGATCACACTTTTGATCAGTCAATTGAGCAATTGACCTAAAAATCAGCTGTATTGGGGGAAAAGTCAACTATGGCCAATTTACAATCAAACTTCATAATTTTTTATCCATATCAACATTATAAACCAATATGTATCATTTTATCAAGTTTGTACCATAACTCATCAAGAAATTTGATCAAATCTCCAAAAGGGCAAAATGGTCAAAATTAGGGTTTTGATTGGGAAAAGGCAATCCCTGGTTTTTGACCTAGCAAATGGCCAATTGGTGTAAGTCATGATCTCAAGAGTCCAATTGCATCATTTTAACCTAATTACATGGTTCAAAACATTGCAAGTCCATTGGATTGACATATGAATTTTGCAGTCAACTAATCAAAAGTCAATTATATACTAAAAAGTCAAACTTTGACTTTTTGGTCAAATTCAAGTGCTAAATTCATCAAAACATGTCAAAATATGAAATTTATTCATCAAGAAATCAAAAAGTCAAGATTTCATTTTGAAAAGTCAAAATTTCTAAACTTAGAAATTTTTCTAAGTGTTGAAAATTCATGTTTTTTCATAACTTTGAGCCAAATTTTCACTATGATGCAAGATGATTCAAAAGAAACTTCCAACATGAAAGTTATAGATCTCCATGAAATCTACAACTTTTCTTCACACAACTCCTTCCAAAAGTGCTTGGATATCAAGTTATAATTTCAAGAACATAGGGTCATGAAACTAAACACTTAGTGAAATTTTGCCCTAATTTGGTCAGGATTTTGACCCAACTTCATGGCACTTTTTCATATAGTTCCAAGGGGAATCTTCAAAAGCAATTCAAATATGGATTGTATAGAACATTTCAATCTTTCCAAAATGTCCAATAACTCCTTGAGATCATTCTTGAGTAGGGAGAATCGAAGAGATGAAGTTAGGGTTTTGTCACTTGAATTACAAGGCATTTTGTGATGAACAAGAATTCAATTTCAAACCTATGCTGCACAATCTTGTTTTGCAGGCCTCTAAACCTCAAGATCTCTCCATAATCAGAAGATTACATTTGATTTTGAGCTATTATCCACTTGATTCAAGCTTTATCCAAGTTGCATTTCCATTAATGGCACAAAGTAACATTGCCATTCTAGTAAAGTGGCTTTAATCACAAAGTCAACTTCTCTTGAGCTTTGCATTTGTTCTTTTTGCACAAGCATCCTATACACAATCAGATAAGCATGTTTAAAGGTCCTAACCACTTTAGATAGCCTTGTACCTTGCCTTGGAACAATGTTTGTCAAGCTTGCTTCAAAAACAAACCAAAAAGTCATAACATGTGAACTTGTACTTCTGATCACCCGAGCTCTCAAAACCTTTTTCATATACATTGAGACATTATTATGCAACTTAGGACACGATTTTTGCAAAGCTGAAACACTCTAAAATTCCCTCTAGCCAGAAATTGCATAAAAACTCCATTTTTGTGCAGGTTCTGACCTTGAACTTGTATCTTATATTTCCCTTGTGCGTTCTTTGGCCTTTTAGTTCCTAAAGCTCCTACACTTAAAATATAACTTGTCCCTATCCATGTTTCATTTTTGTAACATCATTTACCCCATCTTCCATAACCAAAAACAGAGCATTACACATTGACTTCTCCAAGTCATTTCAGCCACTCTCAACTCAAGCAAACCATTGCATTAGCTTCCTAGGACCTCAAGGAAGCTAACCTGATCATCACCATCACTTGAAACAAGCTCAAACTCCAAACACGATTTCTAGTTTTGAGGTAAGTTTTCTCAACTTGGAACTCTTCATACAGGCATCATCAATAGTTTATTTGTGAATAAAACATGTAGATATCATTGCCCTGAAGCTAACCATGTCCTTAGTTTCCACTAATTTTTCCTGAGCTTAGAGAATTTTGAAACTGAAATTTCTGAAATTTCTAGGGTTCATATTAGGGTCATTAAAATTCTTTCTTATCTTTGATCTATAGTTTTAATACTTTACATTTCTGGAATCGTGAGAAAATTTGCTACAAGTTTCATGTTTACAGTTTTCATTTTTGATGAGAAATAAGCAAGTTACAGTTGATTTGGCGGGAGGTTGAAGATGAAGTCTTTAGAACACGTTTTTCCTTACATATTTATTATTTCATTTGTATTAACGGATGTATAGCCACCCCAATGGTAGAAGCGTGCGCCTGTAATCTATGGGACTTGGGTTCGAGCCCCAATGGTACCCTTTTGCATTTTTTCATATTTTTACAATTCTGACTTTTTTGTTTGGCAGGCGTTGGGCCCTTTGGGCCTGGCTTACTTTTATTTTTCTAGTTGACCTCCATGTTTCCCATTGACACCCCCTAGCCCAAGTTTTATTACTTATTCATTTATTTTATTTTTTCTTTTCTTAAATATATTTTCTAAATACTAAAAATCATAAAAATATAAA